ACCTCTGAGGCTTTGCCAGAGCAAAGCCTCAGAGGCGCGGCACCCCGCCGCCGCTGCGGCTTTGCTCCCCGTGCCCCTGGTCTGCTGGGGGGGGCGCAGCTAGTGCGCTTCCTCCCACCCCCCCAGCAGACCAGGCTTTTGTTGTGGACCCTGGGGTAGAGCAGCTAGGGTGCTGCTGGGTTGGTCCTGCAGAAACCTACCTGGCAGCCCAGCTGTTCTGTCCCAGGCTTGAGATTCAGCCACTGCTGCTGAAACTGATCAGTCGCTGACTCCAGGAAGCTGGGGGCAGAGCAGTCAGCGTGAAGTTGTCAAGAACAAATCCCGCCAAGCCAATCTAATAGTTTTCTTTGACAGGATAACAAGCTTTGTGAACAGGGGAAAGCAGTAGATGTGGTATATTTTAAAGCTTTTGATACTACCCCACATGATCTTCTCAGAAAGAAACAAAGGTACTTAAACCTAGATGGAGCTATTGTAAAGTGGGTGCATAAGTGGTTGGAAAACCGTTCCCAGAGAGAAGTGATTCGAAATCAAGCTGGAAGGACACATTGAATGTGATTCTGCAGGGATCCGTTTGGGTTCTGTTAGGTATCTCCTGTGATTTATGTAATGTATATAAGAGAGTGTACTTATCAAATTTTTGGATTATACCAATTTGGGAGTGGTTTTAAGTACTTTTGAGGAGAGGATTAAAATTCAAAATTATCTGGATAAACTGGCAAAATGGTCTGAAGTAACTAGGATGAAATTCAATAAAGACAAATGCAAAGTACCCTAGTTAGGACAGAACAGTCAGTTTCACATCTACAAAATGGGAATTGACTGCCTAGAAAGGAGTGTTGTGGAGAAGGATCTGTGTGACATAATAGATCACAGGCTAAGTATACGTCAACAGTGCTGCAAAAAAGCATTCTGGGAGGTATTAGCAGTCGTTTTCTAAGTCAGGTGCAAAAACTAGTTCTTCCATTCTACCCCACACTGATTAAGCTTTAGCCTGAGTATTGTCGAGTTTTGGATGTCACATTTCAGGAAATAAGTAGACTAACTGGACAAAGTCCAGAGAAGATGAAAAAAATTATTAAAGTCTAGAAAACCTGATCTATGCGGGAAGATTGTGGGGGGAGAAGTTTGTTTAGTCTAGACAAGAGTAGAAATGCGAACGACTAATGGACAAGCAAATGCTTATCGGATAGTCAACATGCCAGTCATCTGGATGCTCCCCTCCCCCCCTTCCTGCCTCTATCAGAAAGAGGTAGCAAGGGGGGAAGGAAGAGGAGGAGGTGCTTCCAAATGGCAGACCCCAGGCTCCACTCGGCATGGCCGCTTTGAAATGCCACATAAAGACTGTGCTCCCTGCAGCATTTCAAAACAGCAGCACTGCATGGAGCTCAGGATCAGCTGAGGAGTCAGCTTTGAAACACCTCAGGGAGCATGGGGCCATTGGGGAACTACTTAAGTCCCCCATTGGCCTGTGTTCCCCGCAGCGCTTTCACCTTAGAAGTGTAGCAACAGCCCTTCAAAGGCAGAGGCTCCCTTATCGACTAATCAAATACTGGATGCAGATTGCATCTGTTGTTCATTTATCCAATTTTTTACATCCCTAGACAAGAGAAGCCTGGAGGAGGATATAACTTTTCAAGTACATAAGAGGTTGTTACAAGAAGCAGAGAGAAAAATTGTTCTCTAACCTCTGAAGATAGGACAAAAAGCAATAGGCTTAAATTGTAGAAAGAGAGGGAAGTTGGACATTAGGAAAAACTTACTGTCTGGAAGTTAAGCATTGGAATAAATGGCCCAAGAAAGTTGTAGAATCTCCATCGTTGGAAATGTTTGAGACAGTTATATGAACACGTGACAGTGATGGTCTACATCAAGGGACTGGACTAGATGATCTCTCAAGTTCCTTTCCACTCTCTGTGATTCTTTTGACTTTCCTAAGGCATAGAAGAAATTTCAGGTGGTGATCCTTTTTGCCTTTCTCCTCTGAGGCTTGAAACCTTGTACGGTACCTTTCCTGAAAGAACTCTTTAGACACATGTCATGGCTCTATTCCCCAACCTGACATGTCGAGTGTAGAGATGGAAATCAGCTAACAGAATAAACTCTGTAAGAATCTACCTCAGTAACTTCTCAGAGACAAACTTGTCTAGCCTCAGTTTCCCTGAGACCCAAAAGGAACCCGCTGCCACCACCCAAGTGAGTAAAGGAAAATATAAAAAAACCTTTTCTAGGGAAGAGATCACTTGGGAATCCCATCCCTAAGGTAAAGCTCTCCCTCCAGCCCCCAACCTCTGTTTTGCTTGGAGTTGGGAAAACAAACAGAGGGAGTCCACAGAAAACAATGGATTCTGCCCGGGTAACTAGGCACATAAACTTAAGGACACAACAGTCAACCAATACTGGTTAATCAAAACAAAACTGCTGTTGCAAGCATAGTAAATAACTAGGTGTTAGATAGCCATGAAGTGACATAGACTCAGGGAAAGTCCCTGGACTGTAATCCTTAGTTACAAAATAGAAAAACAATTAGCCACCTCAGACATAATTTCAAGACAAGGAAAACAATAAAACCTGACGGACTATCTAAACTTTTCCCTACTTACACATTTCAAGAAGTCTGTTCTTGGAAAGAGAACCTGTCATAGGCTGTTCCCCACTCTGGCACAATGAATGCAGAAGCGGGGGCCTGCAAAAACACCCCAAAACCTGATCTCTACAGGCTTTGGTACAAAACTTCCCCCAAAATCCTAACACCCAGACTTTGGGAAATAAAAAAAGTAAAAAAAAACCCACTGGTACCACCCCAAGTATCACAAGGAAAAAAAACCAGAGAAGAGGTCACTTGGGAAACCTCCTCCCTAAAAACCTCTGAGAAACCCCAAAGAGTTTGGGAAAGAAAAGAGAAAATACAAGCTGCAGTCTGTGGTTGCTGTCCCTCAGTCAGAGGCATGCAGATATCCAGACAGATGTTCCAGGACACAGAAATGAATACCAGGATAAATTTTTTTAAAAAAAGGAACTTTTATTATTAAAACAATACCTCAGTTACAAGCATAGTTGGAATGGCTATATGGTAAAAGCCACCAAATTAATATACTCATGGAGGATTCCCCCATAGGCCAAAACTTAGTTGCAAAAGAGAGGAAAAACCATTTCTAACAGCACAGACATCAGATCCAAAATCCCAAACCAGAAAACAATAAAACCTGACGGATTTATCTAGACTTTACCCTACTTACGCATTATGAAGAGTCTTTTTCTTGGAGAGAGAGAGAGATGTCCTCTGTCTCCCTCAGTATCTAGAGAGCAAACTGGCTCCGAGACAAAGGACGGAAAATCCCAAAATTCCTTTGTCTCCGTTTTAAATCCCTACCTGCCTTACCAATGGCTGATCAGATGCCTGGCTAGGTACAGGGGACATAGTTAACTCCTCTAGTCCCCAGGCTGCTGGCCATCCCTCATGAACATCACAGAACCCGTCTCACATCTCTCTGAATACCTGAGAGAAACTGCTCTGATCTCAAACAAAGAAGAGAGAAAGAAAAACCCTTCTCTCCTGATTTGAAATCCCTATCTGCATTTTTATTGGCTGACTGCCTGAACCCTCTCCCTAGGTGCATCTCTAGTTGCTTAATCCTTTCCTCACTCTTCAGAGAAGTCATACTCTCCTTAACAGCTCCTATTTATGACAACACATTTGTTTACAAATTTTAAAATATTATTAAATACTGGAAGATCATTTTTATTTTTAAATACATTTAATGATTGTGAAATAAACTAAATCACTCATTGTGAAGACAGAAAACTTAAAATGGGGATTTTGACTGGGCAAGCTTACTTATGGCAATATGCTAATAAGTTACCCTATTGTAGGGAGAAGCACCTCTGAAGAGCATATGGTAAGTCACTTTCCGTTCAGCTTGGCCTTTTGATACGCTTTGGGATTCTAGTATAAATGAGCTCTTGGTGTCAAATTATATAATAAATTAAGATTGGAAAGTCCACCTGCTGGAGTTCAGTTTCATTCAGACCACACATCAGCTGTCAAATTGTAACAATATGCAATCACTGTTCCATATTTACATGAGAATCAGGCTACTGATGTTGAGATGAAAGACTTGTTTCCCTGCTAAAAAAGGACATTGACAATGGATTAGGGATGTAAAACGTAGTGTTTAACCAGTTGTAACCGATTACAGGGGGGACAGTTGGAGCAGCCTCTTGCCACAGCAGGCGGAGAGCTGTTCCAGCCCTTCCCTTTTGCATCTCTACAGTGGGGATACACAGAAATGTCAAAATACATAATTTTCTAATCATATTTCAGTGGGTCTTGCGGATGCCAAATTGCCATGTTAAAAAGTTTTTTTTTCTCCTTCATCTATAAGTTTTTTGCACTGCAAATAACTGTAATCATGTTCTGCTCATTCAACTCTTCAGAAAATTGTTACCAAATAAACAATAGAAATACCAAAGAAGTTAATTAGTTTTAAAATCTAGTTGGATTGTTTTCTAATCATATTTCAGTGGGTCTTGCGGATGCCAAATTGCCATGTTAAAAAGTTTTTTTTTCTCCTTCATCTATAAGTTTTTTGCACTGCAAATAACTGTAATCATGTTCTGCTCATTCAACTCTTCAGAAAATTGTTACCAAATAAACAATAGAAATACCAAAGAAGTTAATTAGTTTTAAAATCTAGTTGGATTGTT